CTCTGTGTTCCCCCATCTTGGCTTCAGACTTGCTCTTCAGAACTCTCTCCAGCCACACCTTCAGGCCAGGCATTTTGTGCTCTAAGCTCTTAACTTCTCCTGACAGATGATTTTTAAGTGGGAACTCCTCAGAACACCTCAGAAAGGCACTGGCGGCACACAGGCTGGTATATTTTGTGCTTCCAGTGTGACTCTGAGTAACAGTCAGCTTTGTCTCTGAAGTTCCCCGTGGTAATCTTCATGGGACAGCTTCACAGGAAACAGGGGCAGCTGTAATTGCCCCGTGAGCCATCAGTGAAAGCACTCATATTGATTATGTGCCAAGAACTCTTCCAGGTTTGTGCCTCCAAACATCTCGTTGAAACATTCATGCAATCATTCATTCATTCATTCATTCACTCATGAAAATGATTGCAAGGCACCCTGGTCAGCTTATGTGTAACAGTGAAGAGATGACAATATAGTGCGAAAGGCGCTGTGAAATATACAAAATAGAGGAATGACACAGAACCTCTACTCCCTGAGGTGACAAGAGAGATCTTCCAGGAAAAACTGACCCAGGGGCTGAGATTGGCGGAGTGGATTTGTGAGCAAGAGTTCAGGAAGCCAAAGCCGGCGGTTTTGCAAGAGTCTCTGTGTTGCTGTTACAGAATATGCAAAAGGGGGTTGTTACAATAGCTTGTTAGAAATAGTTAAAACCCAAACCTTAGAATTTAATGCTCCTTACTAAGAAAGAAAGGAAGAAATTCTTTCCTGCTGGTAGCTGGACTGCTGTCACTTTTGAGTTTCTTTGCATATAATAATCATAGATTTTTCTCTTATATAAGTACAATGCAAAACCATTTGAGATTCAGATTCTATCAGCAGTGGAGATTTTGTGACACAAAGGTGATGGAGGTATAACTTTTCATATGGATGGAAGGGGAATTTAGGGACAATGTGGGAGGGAGAAATCTTGTGAAAAGCCCTCTTGAGAAAGCTATTTGTGAAGAGTAGTGAACATAGACTTGAGAGAGGCACAGAATTTATCTGGTAAACATTAAGCTATTTTCATTTTGCAGAGTCCATACATTTTTGTCTCCAATATGAAGTCATGTGAGGAAATTCTGATTAGGGGAGTCGGGGTTTCTCTGAAGAGGCTGGTCTTGTGTGTCATATACATTTTGCTGGGCTAACAGAAAATTTTAAGCGTGTAGAGTCAAGATGGGATTTGCATCTTATAGGCATTACCTCCATCACAATGCAGAAGATGAAGTAGGGGGTATAATTCTGGAGGCAGATAAATTAGTTAGGAGGCATTTGCAATATTCTTGGGGAGAGATAATGAGGGATTAAGCCAAGATGAGCTACTGGGAATAGAAAGAAGATGATGAGGTTATTTAACAAAAAACCTTCAGAAAATAGCAGACATAATAGAGAAATTTTAGATACATTCTGCTTTATGTCTAAATAAGCCATGGGTATCTGCTATCACTTCTACTTTTCAGTATAGCACAGGAATTCCGGCCAATTTTGTAATTTTAAAAACTGAGTAAGTTGTTTATAGATCAGAAGGGATGAGACCATATGTGATTATTTATAGATGATGTGATGAGATTCTTAAAAACAAAGACACACAGAAACATGAAAGTTAAATTGAAACTATTAAGGCTAAAAGTAGTCTATTAATATTCCAAATACCAGAACACATTAAAATTCAATACCCAAAAGATCAATAAATTTCACCAAAATCAATTGTACCCTAGACCATATTTTCTCATAGTGAATCTTCTCACACAACTTTCTTTTCCTTGTTGCTTTCATATCTAAGTGTGGCAAACCTTGCTGCCTCCATTGTGGGCCCCTTGTGACTAGGAGTGGAGAACTATAGAATTCCTCTGATTTTCTTGTATTTTGTCCACATGCCATTAACTTGACTTATGTTAAAGTCTCTGACAAGGACCCTGATAAATATGATTTCATTTCAGCAAGATTAGTGTTCTCCACCATGGATGGAAATTTCATTCCCTGTCATCGCTGCAGTAAACACTTGTCATGGACAGACCATTAAATGGGACCAAATCATGTTGATTCATTTCTGAGGAAAGATTCATCCACTCATAAAAAAGGATCAGAAAAACAAATGGGTTCTCTTTCTTATTAAGACAATTCTACCCCATTATTCCATATCGGAATATGGAACTTGGAATTCTCGAATCTTCTTATCCCCATGTGAGAATTCAGATTATTGAGAAACTAAAGCGAAGGAAGAAGAAAGTGAAGATTTTAGAGACATTTGGCAATCAGCATGTGATGGGAAGAAAGCAATCTTATTAAAATGATTAAGATGCTGTCAAGGTTTCTATGTAGATGTCCCCTAAGAACCTCATGTGTTCATAGGTGAGGCTTTGGAAGGTGATTGGGTTATGGTGCTCATAGCTCATTTGAGGTGAAGACACAGGGTCTGGTCTGAAGAGGCAGGTCACTGGGGTCATGGCCTGAGAAGATCTATTGCCCTCCCTCTTTCCTCCCTTGTTTCTCTGCTCCCTGTTCAGCATGCCATTAGCAGCTCTCCCCCTCCACACCCCCTGCCATCCATCCTACCTTGGAGCCGTTCGATTATGGTCTAAAATGTGCACCAAAATAAACCTCTCCATCCTTAAATTGTGGCTTTCAGGTGTTTGTTGTGTCTCAGTGACAAAGAAAGTACATTGGACCCTTGGCTTATGGACTCTCAGTTCCCGAGGAGGGCTGGTTGTTACTCAAGTTGATTGTAAGCCAGTACAGCTGAGATCTGGATGTTTACCTGGGTACACACCATAGATAACAAGAGGCAGATGAATCTTCCATTCACCTAATTAACCCAAGTTGTTTGTACGTCAGGCCCATCATAACTTGAGGGTCCACTGGAACTAAGACAGATTTTATATGTATATACAGATACTGATTCTCCAAGACGGATGTAATTATTATGTATCACAGACATGCACTCATTTTAAAAGGAAACTCAAAAGAGAGAAGCATCAGAGAAGCAGATGAACTAGAAGAAAGAATATTTTTGGTAACTAAGAGCTTCAAGAAAAGGGGCGTGGCCAGGGGTACCACGAGGTTGATGGGGTCAACCGTAGGACTCTGAGAAGAGAGGCTGAGGTCAAGGAAAAGCTGTGGCCGAAGAATAATGGCATTGAGACTCACTGATCAGGCTCCTGAGGGGAAGAGGGCTTAGCAGAGCACAAGGGGAATGGGAGCCCAGGTTCATAGTCTGCCAGTGAATTCGGGATGGGGCAAAGGAGGAAAGCAGTGTGGTTCTTTTTCTCCATAGGAAGTCATCAGAGTGAAAAAGTGTGGGTGTAGAAAGTGAAGTGAAAGCTGTTAGAAAGAGGCTGATCATCTGGCACCCTCGTCTGTTTGAAGCCCTGGGCTCTTTTTGAAGGATTGAATTCTCTCCAGTGTATCTCCTGTACCTGGACATGATGCAGGTTGAATACAACCTTATCCAAATGCTTGGGAAAAGAAGTGTTTTAAATGTATGATTGTTTTGGATTTTGGAACATTTTCACATTCATTCTATGATATCTCGGGGCTGGAACCCAAGTCTGAACATGAAATTTATTCATGTTTCACATAAGTTTTGTACGTTGCTTGAAGGTAATTTTAAACAATACCATTAATGTGCCTGTGTTTTGATTATGAGTTGTCACATGAACTCAGATGTAGGATTTTCCACTCTGAGTGTCATGTCGATGCTCAAAACGTTTCAGACTACAAGGTGTTTCCGATTTGGAATGGTTGGGGTGAGGATGTTCCAGTTGTATCCATCCTCTAAAGTGATTCGCTGCCTTCTGAGCTGTAGGTTCATGACTTTCCAGTGACTAAGCACTGTGGAAGAAAGTGGGAATACTGAGCCTGGGCTGGGCACAGGGCAGGATGCGCCTACTACTCCTGTTGGGATTTCTGGCTGAGGGCCATTTCACTCACACCTGAAATCTAGATGTCATAACCTGGTAGAAGGTTGGAACTTAGAGATTGAGTTTCTTTAGAGTGGTTGTTCAGAGGGCAGACTGCAGCGCACTCTCACAAGGAAGGACAGTGGCTATTTACTCTTTTCTTTTGATTTTCCTCCCTCCCTCCTGCCCTTCTTCCTCCCTCTCTGTGTTTGTCCTCCTTCCTGTACTTACTAATGCTTTATGATAGTTACAGATATTCAAAAAAGAACCCAAGCTTTTCTGACTTCTTTTCAACTTCTTGCAATTCATCTCCTCCCCTCCACTCTCCCTTTTATATTTCCGCCCTGTTTAATAGTAATGTGATTCCTACCCTATCTCTTCTCCATGCTGCTTACTTACTCTTTCAGCTTCTGTAATGAGTTCCTGGCACACAGGTTAACTTTCCTTTTCTTTTAATTATTTTTACTTTCTCACCTTGACCTTTCCTCATTTCTAATTGACACCTTCAGACTTCTGTGAGCCAATCAAGTCACCTCCACTCATCCCAGAGGACTGAAGTGTGCGCTGCCTGGTCACAGGTTCTCCATCTTATTTCTTCCCCTAGCAAAGATCCAGAAAGATTAGTCAAGAGGAGGAAGCAATTTGTCCAGCACAGTCAAAAATTTAGTATGCAGCAATAGTACCTTTAGTGGTCTGAGGTATCACACAGAAATGATTTTTAAAGAGAACAGGAACACATCACTTCTTGGTTTGGGTGTCTAAATGGAATAACTTTGTTCTTTTTGAAAAGAGTCTTAATAAAGACTGCTCATTGTGCAGTGTACTTTTTAAGTAGCAGCACCAATGTGTAACACAACTGGACACTGTGTTAACAACATGGCCGTTATTCACAACTGGTATTATGACTCCAGGTGTGACACATTTAATAAAGGAATACATTAGTATGTGAGCCTTCGTAATGTGGCGCCAACACGGTCCCTTTGTAAAATGCTTGTCTCTCTTGGCGAGTTTGTCACCTTCTCCTTCAGCAAGTGTTTACAGCTGTATGTGATTCTCAGCTTACCTTTGGTAGCCTTTGCTTCTCATTTTTGCAGGTTGAAATTTTCACACTGCCCTGCGTTGGGAACTCATGGTCTCCATCCTTGCTGTAAGTGTTTTCATGGTGCTAAAGGGTTCTGGGTGATTTCTGGACTTGCTGTGCATGAGCTGTGAGCTTTTGTATCATTTACTTGGCAACATTTTTGCCAACTTATTTGTTTAAAAAGTATCAGACAAGTGGAGTTGCCAAATAGTATATTATTGCAGTAAAATATTGTAACACTCCCAGATATAAGATTAGTACAACCTGACTAATTTTAAATAATTCTTGTATTTTATTTTTATTTTTAAATTAAGTTTATTGGTCCATTTAAAGCAAACAATACAGTTACATTCATCACTGGGATCTTGTACCTTTACATGATATGTTTTGTTTCTTGTTTTTTCCCCATACACCTCCCCTCCCTGCACCCACTTCACCCTTCCCTATTTACAAAGACTTTGTTTCCATTTTTTCACATTTTTTCTTTTCCCTTATTTCCTTTCCGTCCCCTCTTCACTTCCCCTTTAGCCATTTTCTTCCTATTTTAAATAACAGAGACTAGTCCTAAATTTTAAAGAGTCAAAGACACAAACAATGTGTGTATTTATAAAAAGTAAACACCATGGCTATAAATTATCATGTTCATTAACCACAAATTCAATCAGATCTCCTTATAGTAGGATGGAGCGAACATGGGCTTGGGAAACCAGTGAGATTGTGTTGACTCCAGGAATATATTTGCCAAGGGTTTTGTCTTGGATGCTCCTTTCCCAGGCTTTGGGCTTCTAAGCCCTTGCCTGTGAGTGAGAAGGAGACAGTTCTGTCCAGGCTTAGCAGGTGGGCACTTGTGTATCTATCTCATTTATTAACACACACAGGTTTATCAAGACTACCTTAGTTTCTCCTCACGTTCACTGTTTAACAATGATATATTAGTGGCCTTCAGATCACTTGGAGAAAGCAATTTAAAATAAAAGACGTTTATGAAAATGAATATATTACTGACAGTGGCAAACACATTTAATACAGAATAGAAAGTGAGAGGTTGTCCAGCCAATATGATTGTAATCAAATAGTCATAACATCTAAATAAACGCATAAACCAATGCCATCTTAGCCATGGAGAAAGCAGTTTACAGAGAAAGAAACTTGTATTTGAGTCCCCAGCCTACAACCCTTTACTCCTTGTATGATTTAAGATGGACACTTGATCGTTTCCTAATTTTCAAGAGAAAGATATTAATATCTTGTATCTACCGTAGCAGTTTACCCTAACATAGGAATAAGATGAAATAAATAGCATGTTTCATAGCTTTCAAAATTGTTCTAAAGATATAGCAGGCTTTTATTACTATAATTACATTCTACCTCAATTGGCCGGTATGTTTTCCCAGTCCTAATAGTGTATACTTAGTCTTAATAGTATTTTTTTTGCACTACTTTTACAATACTCTGAATAGCTTACAAAGAGCATTCAGGCGTTTCAGTTTTTCATTCGTGTGACAACTGTGTAATACATGTCTAGTTCTATGTTATAGAGTGGATGATTCAAGTCATATAAGATTGTGAATGCTTTCATAGCGTGTGAGACTACATGGGCAAAGAAAAAGTTGAAGCAGGAAGGAGTAAGTCCAGTGATTCGAATTCATGGTCTCCATTCTCACTTCTTCCCCACCCCCATTAAGTTTATTGGTCCATTTAAAGCAAACAATGCAGTTACAATTTTCATTGGGATCTTGTACCTTTATATGATCTATATGGTTCTTGGTTTTTTTCCCCACACCCCTGTTCTCCCTTCACCCCCCCACCCTTCCCTATTTATAAAGAATTTGTATCCATTTTTCATTTTTTTCACATTTTTTCTTTTCCCTTATTTCCTTTCCCCTCCCCTTCCCACTTCCCCTTTAGCCATTTTATTCCTATTTCACACTCCCAATTGTACCATTTGAACCTTATTTAAACTTTAGTTTTTCACACCAGAGAAACTGTTTGTTATTTACTCATATGTCCTCTTTATTTCACTTAAGAGTACAGCCTCAATGTGCATCTATTTAGCTATAAATATTTCTAGTTTCTCATTCTTTATGGCTGAGTAGTACTCCATTTTATAGATAAACCACAAATTCTTTATCCAGTCTCCAGTTGATGGGCATTTGGGTTGTTTCCAAGTTTTAGATATTACGAACTGTGCTGCTACAAACATGGGTGCACACATATCACTGTGGTATGATTCTTTTAATTCTTTTGGAAAGATACCCAGCAGAAGGATACCTGGGTCAAATGGAACCTCTAGTCCTAGTTCTTTGAGGTATTCCCATATTGATTTGCACAGTGGTTGCACCAGTCTGCACTCCCACCAACAATGGAGAAGGATTCCTTTCTCCCTGCAGTCCTGCCAGCATTTGTTATTGGTTGATTTCTTGATAGTGGCCATTCTTTCTGGGGTAAGGTGGAATCTCAGTGTTGCTTTCATCTGCATCTCCTGAATAACCAGTGTTGTTGAACATTTTTTTGTATATTTATTGGCTGCTTTTACTTCTTTGAGAAGTGTCTGTTTATTTCAGATGCCCATTTTTTAATCAGGTCTTTGTATTTGTAGGGGGGTCTGGTTTTTTTAGTTCTTTATATATTCTGGATAGTAGTCCTTTGTCTGAGGAGTAGCTGGTAAAATTTTTTTTCCTAGGTTGTCTCTTAGCTCTATTAGTAATTTCTCTTGCACTGCAAAAACTTTTTAATACAATTAGATCCCTGTTGTTCATTCTTTGTAAAAGTTCTCATGCTGCTGAGGATTTGTTCATAAAGTCTTCTCCTATGCCAATGTCTTTGAGAGTTCTACCTAATTTATTTTCCAGTCAGTTTAGTGTTTCTGTTTTGATATTTAGGTCTTTAGTCCACTTGGATTTTAGTTTAGTGCATGGTGAAAGATAGTGATCTAATTTTAATCTTTAGTAAGTTAAAAGCCAGTTTTTCCGACACCATTTATTAAAGAGGCTATCTTTCCTCCAGTGAGGATGGTTGGCTCCTTTGTCAAGGATGAGGTAGCTAAGTATGTCTAGTGTTGTTTATGTATCTTCTAATCTATTCCATTGATCCTTGGGTCTATTTCTTTGCCAGTACCAGGCTGTTTTTATCACAGTGGCATTGTAATATAGTTTCAGGTTGGGAATTGTGATACCCCCTGCCATGTCTCTGTTGCTTAGAATGGCTTTTGCTATTCTAGGTCTCTTTTTGTTCCAAATGAATTTTTGTATTATTTTCTCAAGTTCTGTGAAATATACTGTTGGGATTTCAATTGGGATTGCATTGAATCTGTATAGCAGTTTTGGAAGTATGGCCATTTTCACTATGTTGATTCTTCCTACCCAGGAGCAAGGGATGTCTTTCCATCTTCTTATATCCTCTTCTTTTTTTTTTTTCAGAGTGCTGTAATTTTCAGTGTAAAGGTCTTTTGTCTCCTTCATTAGATTGATTCCAAGATATTTCATTTTTGAATGTTATTGTGAAAGGAATTGTTTCCCTAATTTCTCTCTCAGTGAGTCTGTTATTTGTGTACAAGAAAGCTATTGATTTCTGAGGGTTGACTTTGTAGCCTGCTACTCTACTGAATCTGTCGATTAAGTCTAGCAGTCTTTTGGCAGAGTTTTGTTTTGTTTTTTTTGGATCTTCTATGTAGAGTATCATATCATTAACAAATAGTGACAGTTTAACTTCTTCCTTCCCTATCATTATTCCTTTTATTTCTTTCTCTTGTCTGATCACTGTGGCTAATGTTTCTAGAACTATATTGAATAGGAGGGGTGACAGTGGACATCCTTGTCTTGTTCCTGATTTGAGAGTGAATGTTTTTAGTTTTGACCATTTAGAATGATATTGGCTGTTGGTTTTTCATAGATAGCCTTTATCAAGTTGAGATAAAGACCATCTATTACAATTTTCTATAGAGTTATTTTGTCATGAATATGTTTTGAATTTTGTCGAATGTTTTTTCTGCATCTATTGATATGATCATATGGTTTTTGTCCTTGATTCTGTTAGTAAAGCATTTTACATTTATTGATTTATGTGTGTTGAACTATCCTTGCATCCCTGGGATAAATCCAACTTGGTCAGGGTGTATGATCTTCTTGATGATCTTCTGTGTTCTGTTTGCCAGTATCTTACTGAGGATTTTTGCATCTGTGTTCATTAGGGAGATTGGCCTGCAGTTCTCTTTTTTGGTTGGGTCTTTTTCTGGTTTTAGAATCAAAGTAACACTTGCTTCCAGGAATGAATTTGGAGCTATTGATTCCCTTTCAATTTCATTGAAGAGTTTAAAGTGTAGTGGTGATAGTTCTTCTCTAAATGTCTTGTAGAATTCAGCAGTGAAGCTATTAGGGCCTGTGCTTTTCTTTGTTGTTTTAATTACATTTTCAATTTCACTGAATGTAATTGGGGTATTTAGACTTTTTATATCTTCTTTGTTCAGCTTTGGAAGTTCATATGTATCTAGGAATCTGTCCATTTCTTCTGTATTTTCCATTTTATTAAAGTATAGGTTTTCAAGGTAAGTATTGATGATCCTCTGGATTTCTGTGGGTATGTTGTGACTTCACCTTTTTCATTCCTAATTGCATGAATTTGAGCATTTTCTTTCCTTTTATTGATAAGATTGGCTAAGGGTTTATCAATTTATTTATTCTTTTGAAAAAATAACTCTTTGATTCATTAATTTTTGTGTCATTCTCTTAGTCTCCATTGCATTAATTTCTGTTCTGATCTTTATAGTTTCATCCCTTATATGAGCTTTCAGTTTGTCTTGCTCTTCTTTTTCTAGGAGCTTAAGATTAAGCATTAGGTTTTTTATTTGAGCTTGCTCTGTTTTCCTAGTATAGGCATTTAATGCTATGGATTTCCCTCATAGAACTGCTTTCATTGTGTCCCATAGATTCCTGTATGTTGTACTGGCATTATCATTAAATTATAGCAACTGTCTAATTTCTTTTTTAATTTACTCTGTGACCCAATGGTTGTTCAGCACAGTGTTATTTAATTTCCATATGTTTGTGAAGTTCTTGCAGTTTCTTAGG